GATAGATTTTTAATCAGTAAGGGAATCAAGGACTATGGGGAAAAAGGCAAGGAATTGCATTTGGAGATTGCCAGATCACTATGGTCTCATTGAATGACTGAAGAGACTCAATGGGCTGAATAGCTTACTTCTGCTCATATGTCCTATGGTCTTATTGAGATCTTCCCTGGAGACTTCTTTCTCACTAAGGTATATCTTTACTGTCCTGAACAGCAAAATTAACTTGGTATCAGAGATTGTAGGAACTGCAGATGCTGGAGAATCTGAAATAACAAATAACTAGTGAAGGGTCTAGGCCCGAAACGTCAGCCTTCCTGCTCCTATGATGCTGCTTGGCCTGCTGTGTTCATCTAGCTCTGCACCTTGTTGTCTCGGATTCTCCAGCATCTGCAGCTCCTACTATCCCAGCTAAAAGATGTCTGACTTCCTTTGTGTTTGCAAACACTCCAATATTTTAACAGCGAACCACCTATCTCTTAACCAAAGAAACACACCAGTTTGCTGCTATGACAATACCCTATCCTGAAACGCATTCAAAGTTCAATTTACGAGCACCTTAAACACAGAGACACTTGCTGCCTCAAATTCAGAAGGTGTCAAATGACAATGCAAATCTGTAACACACCCTTTGTTTGGTGAAAAACGACACAGATCACAGAACCTCAAACCCTGTGGATGCAGGCCATTCAATTCATCACAAGTCTAAAACAGCCCTCAAAAGCAAATCCCACCCAACCCTTGCAATTTCCCCCTAACCTGCACACCATGGGTAATTTAACAGGACCAATCCACCTAAGCTACATATCTCTGAACTGGGGAAGGAAACCCACACATATAATCACCCAAGAGGTGGAATTGAGCCTAGAGCCCTGGGGCTGGGAAGGTAGCAGTGCTAACCACTAAGCCGCTCTGAACTATGGAGCTTATGTGACAAAGAAACCATCTTGAGCTCTATGTTTGAACAAACCAACAGAATCTGCTTGCAGACACACAGAATTCCACCAAAAACATTCTAACCAGTTGCCAGTTGTCTAACCAATGAAGGCAACAAAGGACAATACTTTAAACAGGGAAGAAGGGTCCACCCCCTCACTAACATTGAGTTCACTGGAGAACAATTTCTAAGAAATAAGACAATAGAAAACCTCTCTGAGAATCCTTTGCTTTACCAGACTTAAATTTTTAAAGGGCCACCCGCATCTAAGAAACTGCATACCTGCCAAGAAGGAGGCAGAGATAGTTAGAGGTTACATCTATATTGTTTTATCTTGATCTGCACTCCTCTAATTGTAATTCTATACATATCCCCAATTTTGTTCACTCTGTGGTGTCATCACTTTAAGAGTGATGTCTCCTAAAGAAGCACAACATTACAAATGAGCCAAGTATCTAGATGTCACCACATGACTATAAACCACCATCAGTAGGCATTGTAGCTCCCTAGACAAAGTATAAGGCTAAAGGTAACTCTGTACTGTGTGGAAGGGTTAGCTGCAAACCAAATCACCAAAGTTTTCAAGGAAGCAGAATCTTTGTACCTCATTTCGATGGCACAAAAACAAACTACATTTAGAGTGTTGTGTTCATTTCTGGTCGCTACATTACAAGAAGGATTTGGAGGCTTTGAGAAGGCGCAGAAGAGATCTACCAGGATGTTCCCTGGATTAGAGGGTATGAGCTATAAGGAGAGGCTAAAAAAAACTTGGGTTGTTTTCTCTTGAGCAGCGCAGGCTGAGGGGAGACTAGATAGAAGTGTATAAAATTATGAGATGCATAGATAGGGTTGATGGTCAGAATCTTTTTTTCTCAGAGCTGAATTTCTAATACTAGGGGGCATGCATTTAAGGTGAGAGGGGGAAAGTTCAAAGGAGATGTGAGGGGCAAGAGTTTTACACAGAGAGTGGTAGGAGTCTGGAACGCACCGTCAGGGGTGGTGGTGGAGGCAGATATGATAGGGGCGTTTAAGGTATTTTTAGATAAGTACATGAATATGCAAGGAATGGAAGGATATGTACCAAGGGCAGGCAGAAGGGATTCGTTTCATTAGGCGTCATGTTCGGCACAACATTGTGGGCCGAAGGGCCTGTTCCTGTACTGTACTGTTCTACGTTCCAATCCACTCGCCATCCGGACTTGGAAATATATCCCTGTTCCTTCAGTGTTGCTGGGTCAAAATCCTGGAATTCCCTCCATCAGGGCATTGTGAGTCAACCTACCGCACATGGGCCGCTGTGGTTCATGAAGGCAGCTCACCACCACCTTCTCGAGGGCAACTGTGGACGGGGCAATAAAATGCTGGGCCCACCCAGCAATGTCGCACAAGTGAATGAAAAGAAAATAATTTGTTAAATTTGTCAACTGATAATGCGATTTATAAAAGACTGAACTGTTGATGTTGATAATAGATTTGACAATTGCCTCAATACTCATTGAAGAAATCCAAAAGAACCTAAGACCGTAAGACATAGGAGCAGAAATAGGCCATTCAGCCCATTGAGTCTGCTCTTCCAGTCAATGAGATCATACCTGATCTGATAATCCTCACTCCTTTTCCCCGTAACCTTTAATTCCCTCACTGATTAAAAATCTGTCTATATTGGCCTTGAATATACTTAATGATGCAGCTTCGACAGCCCTCTGTGATAAAGAATTCCACAGATTCACTACCCTCTGAGAAACAAAATTCCTCCTCATCTTTGTGTGACCCCCTTATTCTGAGATGATTACCTCTGGACCTCGACTCTCCCTGAAGGGGAAATAACTTTCCCACATCTATCCTGTCAAGACCCCCTAGGAATTTTGTACGTTTCAATAAGGTCATCTCTCATTCTTCTAAATTCCAACCTCTCCTCATTGGACAGTCCCTGGGATCAGCTTCGTGAACGTCCTCTAGACTGCATCCAATATCAGTATATCTTTGGCGATCAAACGAAGATCACAGCATTAATTTATTGCGAGCAGATGGAGGAAGGTATCAAGTTATTCGGGCTTGATAACAACATCTGCAAGTATTAGGTGCAGCCAAAAATATTGGCATTGTAACTAGGACGCATAAAGCAAACATGGTTTTTGGCATGTGCTGTCGACCACCTACATTGCAAAGCTATGCTGCATTCCAATTCCTTGTGAGGCATGCAGCATGAAAAATAACACTTGGAAACCTGACTCAAACGATATGGCTTAAGGCTACAAACAGAAAAGAGCCCAGCATTAAGGAGGGTGCCAGACACCTGCATAACAGTAATCTAACAAATGAACAGCAGAGCAGACTCAATGGGCTGAATGGCCCACATTTGCTCCTACATCTTATCACCCTAATTTTATAGCAAAAAAGACATGAGATAAGACCCAGATCAGAACAAATTCCAACCAGGCTTTTGCGTGCTGAGTATAACACACCGCATGGGCAACATTGGGCAGTTAGAAGTTTTAGCCACAGTTTACATCATTAACCAATGAAAAACCGATAAGCTTACTCTCGAAACCAAGACTGACATGGGAGTTAGTGTAAATATCTAAATTTTGAAGGACATATACCCAGACTGGTGGAAATCAATGGCACAAATGATAACTGCTAATTTCATTTATGTACAATGGTCACTTATCTCTTGCATTAGCACATTAGCAATGCAATGCAGATATGGCAATTGAGCATGGAAGACACAGATATTTTACCTGGTAGAATCAAACAGACCAGCATCGTTTGTGATCAGCAATGGTACACGAAGCACCAGAAGAGACCAAGAGTGATCACATTGGCACAGAATTTGCAGCAATTGTTGCAATTGATGTGAAACATGAATGTTGGTCAGTGCATTTAGCTAGGGAACCTCAGAGGGACACTACCTTCAGAGTTCAGCCAAAGGCATGGCCTTTGAAACTTGCATATCTCTTACTCAGCCTCTCCCTTTGCCTGAGTCATGGTGACCCCTAGCTCAAACCAACACCAGCCCCGTTTCTCGAATGAGAGAGCAGCCCCATGGTTTGGTATGACGATGGTGACTTTTTCGATAGTAGAAGAACTAATAGTAACACTGGGCTGGCGTGTGGCTCTGCGGTTAGCACGTTGCTTCACAGTGCCAGGATCCCAGGTTTGAGTCCACAGGCTACTGTCTGTGTGGAGTTTCTATGTTCATCCCTGTGTTTGTATGGGTTTCCTCTCACAGCCCAAAGACTTGCAGGTTAGGTGGATTGGCCATGCTAAATTGCCCATAGTGTTCAAGAATGTGGAGGCTGGATGGGTTAGCCTAGCAAATGCAGGGTTACAGGGATGGGGTGGGTATGGGTGGGATGCTCTTGGGAGGGTTGGTGTGGGCTTGATGGGCTGAATGGCTTACTTCCAAGCTGTAGGGATTGTACAATACACACTCCATAATTGCTGATTGTGTGTCCGTGTCCTCAGCCCTAAACTCAAGAATTCCTTTTCTCGACTTCTCTGCCTCTCTGTGTCTCTCCCTTCTTTCAAAGCAGTCCTTAAAAACTATGTTCTTTGCTTAAGTTTTAAACTTTTGGTTATCTGTCCAAACAGCTCCAGATGTAAATTTTGTTCAATAATTCTATGGTGAGGTATTTTGCAACATTTTATTGTATTGAAGGTGCCACACAGGTTTATGTTGTGGTTACTATTGCAAATTCTGGAGGGCTGTACTGCCTGTTGTCTAATAGTTTTATTTTTGGTCTTGTGTTTTAACAGCACAGAGAGAGAACAGTGTTAAAGGGGGCTCCACAATGAAGGAGAGCCATGAGCTTGTTTTCTTCGTCAATGGTCACAAGGTAGGCCAGAAGACCTATCACAAAACGAAAGACCTATAATGGTTCCTCTTCATTGTTTTCAAATCTGTCCACTTGCTACCTCCCTGTCTCTGTTATCTTCTAAAGCTCCACAACCCTCCAATCCTGCAACGTCTGGGATTTTATATGTTCCCAGTTTTAATTGATCGATCACTGGTGGCCGTGCTCTCAACTTCTGAGATTATCTACTTCAACCTTTTAACTTCTCCACTCCCTCCTTCCTCCTTTAAGATATTCCTTACTTAAAATGTGCCGCCTTGACCAGGCTTTTGTCTTCATGTTTCCTGATCTTGCTGGATATGACATCTTCCTTTCAATATTTACGGTAACCAGCGCTACTGGTTTGAATGAAAGCAGTCCCACTATCATGGAATAGAACTACAAAATGATTACTGCCCAGAACTGGGACTATTTGCTCCATTGTGTCTGTGATGGGTCCCTACAAAACTGTTGTAATTAGCCCCATTCCTCCTTTCCGATTGTTAAACCAAATTTGATTAAATCTGGTCATTTAAGAGCAGATGTCAGATAAAATGATTGGAATCTGCTAAAATGTTGTCAAAATCCAATGTGTTTTCTCATTTCCTACATGAAGTGTTACCTTTCCACCCAGGCACCTCTTCGGTTGGGACTTCCAACAGTCAGACCTTCAATGACTGACTGACTCTCAATGCCCTGGAGGCAACCAAGGACAGGCAATGAAGATTTTCCTTTCTGTTGCCACTCAAGTCCAAAGTGCAAAAATAAGAACAAATTACCTTGCTCAAACAGGGCAGCACGAGTTTCTATTCACTGATACCATTCCCTCCTGTGGCTGACCAAGCTTGTGGTGTCAGTGGAGGAGCACCTCAATGCCTTTCAGTGGGTTTGGCAAACCTACCTTTGCATTCGTAGCCTCTTTGCTCCGGCCACTGTTCTCCACTTGGTGTTCACATTTGCATCTGGTGGAGGGAGAGACACCTCCGTTTCCCTCCACTCAGCAAGCTGAACTGAATTGAATTGTATTAGCTTTATTGTCACCATAATTTAAAGCTCCGTTCTGATCCACAGCATTCCTGTTAGTCCCGAATGTTCCTTAATATAAGTTCAGCTTCCTACAAGGAAAATGGGAACCTTCCACAGGGAGCAGAGACATGAGATTTACAAAGAAAGACCCTGGAGAATTTTGGCCCAATATTCCATCCTCCAACATAAAACATTTACCTCCTTCACCATCGGTATCTGAAGGCAACAGTCTGTGCCACCTTTTCATGGATTTGGACATCCCTGGCAAAGCCAATATTTGTCACCCATATAATCCCCACAGTGTGGAAGCAGGCCATTAAACCCATCAAGTCCACACCAACCCTCCGAAGGGCATTCCACCCAGACCCATCCCTATATTCCCTATTGCTAATCCGTGTAGCCTGCAGATCCTTGACACTATGGGGCAATTTCCCATAGCCAATCCACCTAAGCCTGCACATCTTTGGACTGTGGGAGGAAACCGGAGCACCCGGACGAAACCCACACAGACACAGGGATAATGTATAAATTCCACACAGACAGTCGCCCGTGGGTGGAATCGAACCCGGGTCCCTGGCATCGTGAGGCAGCAGTGCTAACCACTGAGCCACCCCATAAAAGGAGAAATCCCATTGCTCTTCAGAAGGTAATAGTGAGCCACTTTCTTGAAACGCCGCAGTCAATGTGCTGTAGGTATAGCGCAATGCTGTTAGGGAGGGAGTTTCAGAATATCAACCCACTGATACTGAAGGAACAATGAGATTAGCTCCAAGTCATGGTGAAGTGTGGCTTGGAGAGACAGCTTGGAGCGTCTTCTACGTTTATAAACGCTATCACCCAGAAAAACAAGGACAGTGCAAGGGATACTTCCCATTTTGCTACCAAGTTACCAAAACTCTGCTTTTGCTATTCACATCATGTACTGCAGAGAAGGGTTAATGTCTGGTAAGTGGTTAAATTCGTTCCAATTCTTAAATGCTAATATAGCATAAAAATTGGTGGTAAAGTTTTTAAAAAGGTGACTTGCCTGACTAACTAATACATTTAGGTAATTAAAACTCACTAAGGATGGCAATTCAGGTGATGTATCAAGACTGCAGTATGTGGGAGCTCCTGGATACCATTGTGATCCAAGGTAAATGTGACTGCAGTAAGAAGTTAGGACAGCTGTGGCTCAAATTTTATGAACTGGAGGCTTAATGACAGACACTGTGACACATCAGTTACCTGCATCCTTTGAACCAGAAGGCGGTCACACCTCTGAGGATGGGGGTCTTCTGATACGTCAGGGGCTGTCAGGATATGCGTGACTCTAACTGAAGCAGGCAAGGGGATCAAGAAGGTAGGATTGGAAACCACTTCAATTGCCCAGTCGCTGTGAGGTTTTCCCCGTTTGAATGAAAGAGGGACTTGAAGGGTAGGGTTTGCAAACTAATCATGGCACCATGGTGCAGGAAGGTACTGAAGTTGAAGGGATGGCAAGGAATGCAGTAGAAGATGATTATATCGCCAATGACTGGTCCTTACATTGTGTGAGTTTCATGACTTGAACCGTAGGAGACACTGCTGTCTAGCCAATAAGAGGAGGGAGGTCCATCAAATGGCAGACTCTCCACCCTAAATGGGTTGCTGCCATTTTGATTCGACAATTAATGGACTCATGAGGGGATTGAAGGAGTAATGTTTAAATTTGTTAAAAATGAATGGTGGTTAGTGGCTAAAACTTCTGTTTTCTTTGGTCTGGCTTCCTACAGATTGTGGAGAAAAATGTGGATCCCGAATTGAACCTTCTAACTTACCTGAGGAGAAAATGTATCCATGAGAGGTGACTTGAGTTTGGGCAAGTGAGGATGCTCCAGCGTTATACTTGGTTGAGCCTCTTGTAACAAAGCCCTGATTAATGACCATCTGAAAATTGTGTTCCCCGAGCATTCCCAGCTCTGCAATCTGAAGTTATTCCATTAAGTATGTTCCGTTCTATATCTTACCACCTAAAGAAAAGTTCTCATTTTTGCCTATGCGCTATCAACATATTTTGGAAACAATTGAATATAAAAGCCAGTTAAACCAAGTCACAGACATTTTTTTCCCATTCCGTGGTAGTCAAGATATCTGGTGACTGTAATTATGGTGTGTGATTAGACTGGCAGTAACTTTGCACAGAAGAGTTGCATAAGCAGCGACATTGGACCATATTAAAACTTCATAACTGATATGATAACTCATATCATCATTGACTCAAACCGAATCTATAGCACAGAAATAGAACATCCAGCCTCACCAGGCAATGTTTATAAGATTCTTCCCATTGTAGCTCATCTAATTCCTTCACTTAGTCATCGATTACTTTTCACTGATCAAGCTTTTTGCTGCAGCATCTCTGCTAGCTGGTCTAAGTGGTAACAAGTTGCAAATTCTAACTACTATCTAGGTAAAGAAGTATTTCCTGAATCCTCTATTGGATTTACCAGTGACTTCTTTATGTGTAGGCCCTGGTCTCCCCTCAAGAACATCTCTATCTTATCAAACACTTCCACAATCCCAATAATGTTCAGCAGAACACCCTCAGAGCCTTTGCTTCTCCAGAGAGAAAAGTCACAACTTCTTCCAATTTTGCTGATAACTATGACCGTCATAGATGGCCCAAGATCCTTATAAAGTTTAACTTCTCCAAAGCCTGTACACTCTTTTTAAGATAATGTACAAAGCCTGATCAGATTAGACTGAGCTTCTATTTTATGGTTATTTTATTGGACCTTTTTGTTTTTAACATTGATTTTAGTTGCTGCAGTTGCATTCTGTACTGCGTAAATATTGTATGGAAGCAAGACAGCGGTGCATGTTGCATGGTTCATCAATCTAACAGGTCCCACTCTAAATCTAACACTGACCCAACTGGTCCCACTATAAATTCCTTCACTGCTCAACTGGTCCCACTATAAATCCAACACTGACCCAACTGGTCCCACTATAAATTCCTTCACTGTTCAACGGTCTCACTGTAATCCCTTTCACGGGCTCAATGGTCCTATGGTAAACTCCATCATTAGTCCAAGTTATTCCACAAATCCATCACTGGGACAACTGGTTCCACTCTAAATCTAATCAACTAGTTTCTCTATAAATACCTGATAAACTCCTTTGGTAACCTGATTTCTCATGGAAACATGTCAATACAAGGTAAACAATTCTGATAAATCGCACCCAATGGGCCGAATGGTCTACTTCTGCTCTTACATGCTTAGGCCTTATGGCCTATTCTTTATTATTCAGAGACGGTGATACCTGGCATTCTGCTGGGAGTGTTTTCAATGTTGGTGGAGCTGTCGTACCCATCCACCATCTTGAGCAGTAACACTAGGGACGGCGATGGGGTGAGGAGGGGGACTTAGATTGCTGTGTGTCTATAATGTTATTGTTGACAAATGCTTTCCTTAATGTAATGTAACTGTGCCAGTGGGTCTAACTGGAACCAAGCTAGGCTGTGGGGAAGGAGGATGTGGCTCCTGTACGGTGATGGTCTCCAAGTATAACCATCTTGAAAAGAAGATCATGTATCCTTTCACAAACAGTTATATGAGAAGCATTGTACATTAAAAAAAAATTCAATGTTAATTTTGAACAATTAAGAAAGGAATGGAATGTCCCATCAGTGAGTTACTGTACTGGCCAGTTCCTCCAATCACTAGAAATGCTAATGGCTATGATAGGCCTTAACATGTCCAGAGGGAAAATTCAGGAAAAAATCCCAACAAACGTTGGAAATGAATGTACTGGATGCTCCATTTCAAAATAAAAAAAGGACTCACTGGATTGGTGTGTGTCACTTCACAGAATCCCTACAGTGTGGAAACAGGCCCTTTGGCCCAACAAGTCCACACCAACCCTCAGAGCATCCCACCCAGCCCAATTCCCCTATACTACACATTTCTGGACACAATTGGCAATTTAGCATGGCCCATCCACCTTGCCTATACATCTTTGGACTGCAGGAGGAAGCTAGAGCACCCAGAGGAAACCCACGCAGACACAGGGAGAATGTGCAAACTGCACACAGACAGTTGCCTGAGGGTAGAATTGAACTTGGTCCCTGGCACTGTGAGGCACCAGTGCTAACCACTGAGCCACCATGATTTGTCCTTTAGAGCTGTCCCTTCCGAGTGAGCTTTCAAAATCTTCCATGAGTCAGTTGCCTCGTCTTTGACTTTGTCTGTTGTCTTGGAGCCATTTGCGAAGTGCACAACCATTTTATTCAGCACAGGGCAGGACAGTGGCTCAGTGGTTAGCTCTACAGAGTACTGGGCTAATGGTAAGATTCTTGGTAGTGTGGATGAGCAGAGAGATCTCGGTGTCCATGTGCATAGATCACTGAAAGTTGCCACCCAGGTTGATAGGGTTGTTAAGAAGGCGTACGGTGTGTTAGGTTTTATTGGTAGAGGGATTGAGTTTCGGAGCCATGAGGTCATGTTGCAGCTGTACAAAACTCTGGTGCGGCCGCACTTGGAGTATTGCGTACAGTTCTGATCACCGCATTATAGGAAGAATGTGGAGCATTGGAAAGGGTGCAGAGGAGATTTACCAGGATGTTGCCTGGTATGGAGGGAAGGTCTTATGAGGAAAGGCTGAGGGACTTGAGGCTGTTTTCGTTAGAGAGAAGAAGGTTAAGAGGTGACTTGATAGAGACATACAAGATGATCAGAGGATTAGATAGGGTGGACAGTGGGAGCCTTTTTCCTCAGATGGTGATGGCTAGCATGAGGGGACATAGCTTTAAATTGAGGGGTGATAGATATAGGACAGATGTCAGAGGTAGGTTCTTTACTCAGAGAGTAGTAAGGACGTGGAATGCCCTGCCTGCAAAAGTAGTAGACTTGCCAACTTTAAGGGCATTTAAATGGTCATTGGATAAACATATGGATGATAATGGAATAGTTTAGGTTAGATGGGCTTCAGATTGGTTTCACAGGTCGGCGCAACATCGAGGGCCGAAGGGCCTGTACTGCGCTGTAATGTTCTATGTTCTATGTTCTGGTGCCTCACAGTGCCAGGGACCCGGGTTTGATTCCAACCTTGGGTGACTGTGTGGAGTTTGTGCATTCTCCCTATCTCTACGTGGGTTTCCTTTGGGTCCTCAAAGAGTTAGCCAAAAGATTTTAGACCATAAACGCATCTCAGTTAGATTGACTGCTTGTTTGTGATCTGTGAGCAAATTTGCCTCAAGTCTTCAACTTGGAAATGCTTTGGGTAGTGTCACTTTGAACAGATTTGCTTTATTCACTCATGGGACCCGGGCACTTATTTCTTCATTGCCCCTCTCTAGTTGCCCTTGGGAAGGCGATGGGTGAGCTGCCTTCTTGAACTGCAATCTATGTGGCATAGCTAGACCCACAATGCCCTGAGTGATGGAGTTCCAGGATTTTGACTGAGCCTAATCAATTCTATGACACCACACTCCCTGTGGAGGGGACAAATAGGATGGAGCAGGTCAGGGGCTGAGGTACAAGTCTGTGGCTCCAATGCTTAGATGTTCATCCATTGTAAAATAGTCCATCTCACTCACCTTCTATAATCCTGGCAATCACATGCTAATATCGTTGGCTGATTGTAGCAATCAACCTCTATCAAGTAGTTTACACTGAAGCCAAGCATGGCACAGAGAAATACACTCCAGTGGTGGAAAACTTTTGGTTTCAAATTCCTCCCAGCATGTCGCTCTCAGCAATCGTCTCGCATCAGTTCCCCTGTGAGTGAACGTTGGGCCGTCATGCCCAGGCACACCTTGTTCCTCAGTGCATTGGTCATCGCTGTGTGGTGACACAAGCCATCCTTAACCACGATGCCCCCAGACACATTGCTGTCAATGCCTGCCTTGCGCCGCTCTGTTCCCTGCACCGTACCGCCGTAACCACTGTCGAAGGGATTGGCAGTAGCACCACACGGCTTCACCCGGTCCAGGTAAGCCTTCCAGGTCACACTGGCACCATGCCTTCTGTCTCCTTCAAGAGGAATCCTGCCTTGAATGGTGCCAAGGATTATGCGGAGAGACTGGAGTTTCTCTCCTTAAAGCAGATAAGGCTAAGAGGAGATTCGATGGAAGGTGTTCAAGATAGCGAGGTGCTTTGATCGAGTAAATAAGGAGGTGCTGTATCCAATAGCTGGAAGGTCAAAAGACACAGATTTCAGGTGATTATCCCAAAGTGCCAAGGGCTATAATAGGACACAGCAAGTATTATGATCTGGAATTTACTGCAACTGGGGGGGTGGGACAGAATTTGATTCAAATGCTATATTTAGAAGAGAGTTGGGTAAAGACTTAAAGGGAAAATACTTTGCAGGGCAATGGGGAAAGTGCAGCGGCGTGAGATTTGTTGAAAATCTCTTTTGAAAAGCCAGCACAAAAACGATCTGTGCTTGGAAATAGTTGGTGGTTTCCATACAGAGGGCTTCTGGTCATGTTTAAGTTTCATCACCTGCCATCCCTGCTATAACCAGCATCCACTGGCAGTAATTACCATCTTGTTGCTTGACTTTGAAACACGTCACTCGTTTCTTCATCAAGTGTCCTGCGAGAGTGGGCCTGTGGGTTTATGCTGAGGGCCAGTTTCACAGAGACTAGAGATTTCCCGTATCTTTGCGAGTGGTCACTCTTCCTGCGTGAGTCAGCAGAGAGATGCTGATGGGCCTTTCTGACCTCACCACTTAATCTGTCCCGCAAGCACCTGCCATGACTGACTATGTGAGGATCAAGGGTCCTTGCATGTGCAGGGTGTGAGAAATAGCCACTCAGTGATCAAACTCGCAGTGAGTTCTATAGGCTAGACCCCAAGCTGTCAATAACTCTGTTAACGTGGCTGGTATACAGATCTCAAGTGTTGTTGGTAATCTTTACACACGTGGTTGGTGAAAGTGACAAGTGTAGAACATTACAAGTGCTCAGCAATAGGTAAAATATTAGCCGTCTCTGTAGCAACTATGATTTGTTGATGCTCCATATATCTGACTGTACAATGAGTGATGGGAGGGTCAATATTCACCTTCGTCAGTGAATAAGTGTCTGTCCTTGCCCACAAAACCCATCCAGTTTCAGTTTCCTCTTTACAACCTTGGCAAAATCAGTGGAAGCCAGACCATTCAATCTATCAAGTCCATGTAGATGTGTGTTTCTCTGCACGGGGTAGCCTGAACCCACCCTTGCCACGAGCCTGCCATGGCAGGTCAACTTTGCACGCTGTCAACTCTCTCCTTTCATTGCTTTGCTTCACCAGGAACGGATAGCCAAATCCCATGGCTCCCAGTGTGGATTCTGCACCCCCGGGATCGTCATGTCTGTGTACACTTTATTACGGAACAATCCAGATCCCACAATGGCAGAAATCGAAGACACCCTCCAAGGTAAAGTAAGCTCATGGGAATTCACCAGCAGTGGGGGGAGTGAAAGGGGTGATCCTGACTTGCACAGTTAGCCGCTCAGGAGACAGAAAGGAGATTAAAGTGAAGATACTGACACATGAATAGCCTTTGGAACAGTCTTGATGGGACGAATGGCTTCCTTCATTACCTCTGGCCCAGGGCTTGCTTACCGAGTTGGGTAACTCTAACCAGGGCATTTGCTAACTTGCCTTTGCCCAGGTGAGGTTTTGTCCCTCAGTGGGTACAAGGAGAACTCAGCTCTGTCAACTCCCGAAGCATCTGGTAGACACCAGGAAGGTTGGTGCCAAGGCAGGCAGGTTAGAGGACCTGCTGTAGCTCTCAGGGACTTCATTCAAGTCCTTGTAGAAGACTCTAGGCTCTTTAGCCCTCTCTGCTAAAATCCCCACCCATGCTCCTTTCCCCTCCATATCCCAAAGCAGCTCAGATCCAACCTCTGCTTCTCCATCTTCCCCATGGCCCTCCATGTTGCCATGTCAATGTAATGTCAACTCACCCAGTATCTGGTATGGTTAGATTTCCAGAACAACGTTGAAATAAAATCAAACCCAGAGCTCAATACGGAATTGATTGTAACAAAACTCCCTCTCATGAAAGCCTCAAGGATTTTAAATCTCCTTGAGTGGTTACTCTCTTACAGGATTAAACATATTCATCTTTGTACCTCTCATTGTGTTAAACTGGACAATTAAATAACTCACTGGAGGAAAAGGCTGCACAAAATATCTCCATTGGCAATGAAGTGGACACCCAGCCCACATCAGTGCAAAAGATAAGGAGCAATTACAACAACCTTCAGCTGGAAGTGCCCAAAGGATGATCCATCTTGAACTCCTCTTGAGATCCCCAGCATCACAGATGCCTGTCTTCAGCAATTTCAATTCTCTCCATGTAAGATTGAGAAGAGATTGAAGGCGCTGGCTATGTGTGGGCCCATAGCCCTGACAGCATTGTGGCAATAGTCCTGAAGACATGTTCTCCAGGTTTGAGCTAGAACCCTAGTGAAGCTGTTGCAGTACAGCTGCAACTCTAACGTCTACCCAGCAATATGGAAAATTTCCTAAAATGTCCTATCATCAAAAATAGGACAAATCCAACCTGGCCAATTACCGTCTGCTCTCGATCATTATCAAAGTGATGGAAAGGGTTATTGCTATTGCACTTACTCAGCAAGAACTGATGGTCAGTTTGGGTCTTGTCAGTGCCACCTAGCTCCTAACTTCATTAGAGGCTTGGTCCAAAATTGTACAAAAGAGCTGAATTTCAGAGGCGAGTACCTTTGACATCAAAGCAACATTTGATTGAGTATGTCACCAAGGAGGCCTTGCAAAACTGTCTTACTGCTGGCTGGGAGTCAAACCTGGCACGTAGGAAGATGGTTGTGGTTGTTAGGGGTCAGTCACCTCAGCTCCAGGACATCCCTGCAGGAGTTCCTTAGGGTAGTGTATTAGGCCCGACCTTCACCAATGACCTTCCCCCTATCATTCAGTCAGAAGTGGGGATGTTCGCTGATGATTGCACAATGTTCAGCGCCATTCGCGACTCCTCAGATACTGAAGCCACCTATGTCCTTGGGCAGGAAGACCAGAGCGGATTCCAGGCTTGGCCTGATAAGTAACATATACACCACGCAGGTGCTAAGACTGAACTGTCTCTAACAAGAGAGAATCTGACCATCACCTCTTGCATTTCCATGGAATAACTATCACTGAAACCCCCCTTCCCCACTATCAACAGCCTAGAGTTTGCCATTGACTTGAAACTGAGCTGGACTGGCCATGTAAAATATAGTGGCTATAAGAGGAGGTCAGAGATTATGAATCCTGTGTGTGTTAACTCACATTGAATATCAATGTAAAAATCAAAATATGAACTCAGAGCCCCTAGCTGAGATTGTTGTAGCTTTTGAAATTAAGCCAGACATTTATAATGAAGAAAGATAGTAGGAACTGCCGATGCTGGAGAATCTGAGATAACAAGGTGTAGAGCTGGATGAACACAGCAGGCCAAGCAGCATCAGAGGAGCGGGAAGGCTGACGTTTCGGGCCTAGCCCCTTCTTCAGAAATGGGGGAGGGGAAGGGGGTTATAATGAATCATCGTTTAGGAAATATCAACACATAACCCTGTTTCAGCTGCTTCATAAAATGCTACTCCAGCTGGCCTGTAAATCAAAGCATTTCAGGAGGGCTGTTAACAGACACCTACAGCTACTGCTAGGTTAATTTATTTTAAGCTTTAAGATTAAAAAAAATTTGGAATATGACAGTTGAACAGACCTTAACAACCCATTAAGAGACTTATACCTACTCCATATATTGGTCATTCTCACTCTGTGGGTAAGGCCCTCCCATCAGCAGATTTGAATGGCAGAATGCCAGGTAGCTTTCTCTGCTTGTCCGGGTGTAGTAGTAGCTGCAGGCTACCTTGTGAGGCGGTGTCACCCCTATCCCCAAGTGGTGATGGGTGGGCCGCTGAATCTGTCCTTTAAGTGGAGCAAAGACATGTCCATTTTTGAAGTGCCTTCTGTCTGTGTTGCCACTGCAACCTGTTGATGTTTCCTATCTGGAGGGCTACCATATGGCATTCCGACCTTGAGAGCTCGACAGTCATCCTTAATTGGATTGCATGGTCGCACTAGGACCATCAGTTGTTCACTCTGAGGGAAATCACTTTGAGGGATTGCTGTGCAAACACAGCATGGGCTTCTGACTTTGACCTGAGCCCGATGGATGGGTTCAGAAGCCAACAGGGGAATTCCTGAGCCAAGACTGTAGAGACAGCAGAGGAAATTGTGATCTTAGATTACTTCTTTTGCTTCAAAACCCATGAATTGAAAGACCGATACACATAAGACACGGGTATGGCGTATCTATTCTTATTAAAAGAGGGACATTTGCCTTCGGGAATCATGAATGGTGTTCAATAATCATTAGCTGGGAAGTTGGTGTCTTAACAATGGTGAAGTTTGAGGTAAAGATTTATGAGGAAGGTCGACACATGATAAACTGGAGTTAGAATCCTTTCATTGAAGGACAAAAAATCAGATTGAGTGAGGAATCAACAGTGATGCTCCCCCTTCCTTAGAGTTGATATCTTGAAGATAACAAAAGTTCCAAGTGGACATGAAATGATTCTTCCTTTACCCTAGTTCTAACAGAGGAGAAATTAAAATGGTGATGTAGCAAACTTAATATCATATTGTAATCTAACAAAGTTTAACCCTGGAAGACAGTGATAGGGGATTACTTTGCATTGTATATCAAAAAGTAAACAGTTCTTTATAGGTACACCCACAGATAGAGAGGAGATGTATGGGATAAAAGCATGGGAAATTTCAAGTTGCAAGCTGGCCTTCCCTTGTTTAGTTTATGATAACAGGATACTTGTGACCTTTCTACTCAACAGCAAGTCAAACATAAATGTGACAAAAAAACACTTTTCAAGTCCAATCTCTTTAAATTCCCCTTTAAAGCCACAACCTGTCACAGGGACCAGGGGATCTGCCACGTTCAGAAGAATTTTTCAATATACCTACTTTGGATGTGGGCATCTTTGGTGAAGATGGCATTTATTGACCATCATAAGACCATAAGACCAGAAGACATAGGAGCAGAGATTAGGCCATTCGGCCCATCGAGTCTGCTCCGCCATTCAATCATGGCCGATAAGTTCCTCAACCCCATTTTCCTGCTTTCTCCCCTTAACCCTTGAACCTCTTGATAATCAAGAACCTATCTATCTCCGTCTTAAATGTACTCAATGATCTGACCTCCACAGCCTTCTGTGGCAGTGAATTCCATAGATTCACCACTCTCTGGCTGAAGAAGTTTCTCCTTATCTCCGTTCTAAAGGGTCTTCCCTTTACTCTAAGGCTGTACCCTCGGATCCTAGTCTCTCCTACCAATGGCAACATCTTCCCAACATCCATTCTGTCCAGGCCATTCAGTATTCTGTAAGTTTCAATTAGATCCCCCCTCATCCTTATCAACTCCAATGAGTATAGTGCCAGAGCCCTCAAACGTATATGTTAAGATTTCCATTCCTGGGACCATTCTCGTGAACCTCCTCTGAATCCGCTTCAGGGCCAGTACATCTTTCCTGAGAAATGGGGCCCAAAACTGTACACAATACTCTAAATGTGGCTTGACAAGAGCCTTATAGAGCCTCAGTAGTACATCCCTGCTTTTATATTCAAATCCTCTCAAAATAAATGCAAAAATTGCATTTGCCTTCCTGACTACTGACTCAACATGCAAATTTACCATGAGAGAATCCTGGACTAGAACTCCCAAGTCTCTTTGCATTTTAGACTCCTGAATTTTCTCCCCATTTAGAAAACAGTCCTTGCTTTTATTCTGAGATAGTAGGAACTGCAGATGCTGGTGAATCTGAGACAACAAGGTGTAGAGCTGGATGAACACAGCAGGCCAAGCAGCATCATAGGAGCAGAGAGGCTGACGTTTCGGGCCTAGACCCTTCATCAGAAAAGGGGGAGGGGAAGGGGGCTCTGAAATAAATAGGGAGAGAGGGGGAGGCGGATAGAAGATGGATAGAGGAGAGGATAAGTGGAGAGGAAACAGACAGGTCAGAGAGGCGGGGATGGGGCCAGTAAAGGTGAGTGTAGGTAGGGAGTTAGGGAGGGGATAGGTCAGTCCAGGGAGGACGGACAGGTCAAGGGGGCGGGATGAGGTTAGTCGGTAGAAGATGGAGGTGCGGCTTGAGGTGGGAGGAGGGGATAGGTGGGAGGAAGAACAGGTTAGGGAGACAGGGACGAGCTGGACTGGTTTTGGGATGCGGTAGGGGGAGGGGAGATTTTGAAACTTGTGAAATCCTATTCCCAATTCCTTCGCCTCCGCCACATCTGCTCCCAGGATGAGGCATTCCACTCCCGTACATCTCAGTTGTCCTCGTTTTTCAAGGACCGCAACTTCCCCTCCTCAGTGGTCGAGAACGCCCTCAACCGTGTCTCCCACATCCCCCGCAACTCATCCCTCACACCCCGTCCA